TGTATGCGGGTGCACCCGTGTGCGGGTGCCTGAAGAGTCCAGAGGCATCCATCAGATACCACTGGAGCTGGGGTTGCAGGCAGTTGTGAGCCGTCTGATGTGTGTGCTGGAAGCCATACTCGGGTCCTCCACAAGATCAGCTCTCACTCTCAACTGCTGAGCCATGTCTTCAGGCCCCAGACAAAGCATTTAAAAGAACTAAAATATGAAAGGATATTGCATAAAATGGAAAAGTAGGCAACGTGGAAGAAAAGAATGCAAATAATCGGAAGGTGGGAAATTCTGAGAATAAGAAACAGGCGGGAATAATAGGAAAAAAAACCATTGTAATAGAAATGAAGAATGCCTTTGATGGGCTCACGAGAAGACCTGGTTAGCTGACGGAGCAGTCAGTGACCTTGAAGGCATGTCAATAGAAAATCCACTAACTGGGGCTTTAAAATCCTCCATAAAGAGAACGGGGAGGAACCAAGCACTGAGCTAAGCAGCTTTGGAAATGAGAGGAATCCACAAGAATAAAGGTGCAGAAGCAGCATGAGAAGACCACACAGAGACCATCTGTGGCTGACAAGTGTCCCCCCCCCCCCCGCCCCCAGGAGGTTCAGATGACCAACCCTGGCTTGAATGTTCATATACACAGGACCTGAACCGTTAATGAATCACGTGGCAGTTGATGGTGGCGGGCCTCTTGGGCTGGGGTAAGATGGCAAGAAGGTTAGAAGGGTCTGTGTGGTAAAGGACAAGAGCTGGAGACATCTCCCTGAGCCCCTGCTTAAGTCAATATTGACAACAGCGCTACCTCCAGACCAATTCACAGATATCTGCATGTACAGAGGTAGACAGACATCTCTGTTGGCTGAGGGGCCTTAAGTCCAGCCACAGCCTCATAGCAATGACGTCATAGCAACCACATCATAGCAACGGCCTTAGCAATGAGCCAGCTTAGTAGCTTCCCTGCCCTGCTTCCGATACCTTCTCCAGTGAAAGGACACAGGAGCCCTTGAAGAAAGGACTGTCTATAAGACTTGGGCAGGAAACGTACGAAATGAGCCTAGAGAATATTCCAGAAAGGGAGGAAATGCTTGAAGCAAAAGCGACAGAAACGATGACAGAAAACCGCACACTGAAAGGGATCTGACTTAACATCCAACCGGAAGGGCTCCCGGTGACCAAAGCTGGGATGATCTCAACAACTTGAACCCCAAAGAAGAAAATAAATATCCATGAGGAGACTTGGATATAAATAAATGATGAGGCAAATAAATCTGTGGAGTAGCCAGAAATCCTCTGCATAGAAAAATTCCAAATAATTTATGGAGACATTTCCCCTTCATGGCGGGGGAGCTGTGTTGTGAATTCCTTCCAAAGAGCCCAGCATGGAAAGGGGGACCAAGGATGCAGGGCAATAAAAAGTATTGTGACAGCCTTAGTGAGATCCTGGAATCATGAAAGGATATTAAGTAAAGATGGAAAATATGAAGAAAATACAAGTTTTAGCTACTTGGATATACATATTTATATGGGCGTACATGCATGTGTCTATATTCTGGATACGGTAGTTGGGCAATTTTTACTTCAGATTGCTGTCTGGACGTCTCGGGCAACCTCTCTCCCCTCTGTAATTGATCTGCCAACTTAGAAATCAAGTTTGTTCCGATCATGTATAAAGCCAGAAATAAAAGGACTCAAAGTGAGTGTCTGGGCGTTCTCCTGTAAGTGATATCCATAAACATATGGCGTTTGTGACAACCACCTGGCTTTTCATGGGACTGTAGGAGGGGTTAAGTCTTTGCCTTTGGATGTGCCGGGCTTAAAATAATCCCAATTTACATTGATGAGCTCTTCTGGGTTCAGAGAGCGAGCGCCCTGGCTGTCAGACGGAGGATGACTCCCAGACAGCATGAGCGGTGGCTCAGCTCCGAACCCGTGGAGTGGCCAGATGGCTGAGTTCCACAGAACTGAGGTGTGGCCATTGGCTTTCAAAAGAACCAGAGTTGGCCAGGCATGGTAGCTCACACCTGTAACCCCCAGCAGTCTGCCGGTGGAGGGTCTCAATCTAGAGGCCAGGCTGGCTGCCACAGTGAGACGCAGCTGTCTCAAAGCCCCCAGAATAAATAACGAACAAGTCAGGTTCTTCTGAATATCTGCTGAATCCCCGGGGTGGGGGTGGGGGCTTGTGTTTGGTCTCAGAATCACAATGGCCAGAGTCTTCCCTCCACTGGCAGTCCTGTGGTTCTCCCTGGAGCGTGGAGGACCTTGTTCCTGTGCATCGGTTTACAGAGTGGCTTCCTTCTGGCAGCAGCAGGTTCACGCTTTGCCCTTCTCTAGGGCTAAAGGCTCTCCCCAGTGAACTGACCTTGGAGCCCCTGGTGGAGAGGGTCTGGGGTGGGGGTACCTCCACCCTCGGCTTGGCTGTCTTTCCTGCTACCATTCTCCCTGTGAACAACTCACGCCCATCCACAAAAGGGAACAGGATCCTCAACACACACACACCCACTCCGCTTTACCCACTTTACTCCGGGTCTCTGTTCTGTCCTAGTACAGCCCAGGCCCAGTAGGGTTTGGGAATTGTTGGGTGTGGTCACTACTCAGCCCACTTCTGCAGTCAGGGGCCCGGGTGGAGGGGATGGGGGAGTGGAGGGGGGATGGAGGGTATGGGGAGGTGGAGGTGGGCGGGCGGTCAGGGGGGGATTATAGAGTTCTGCTGTTGGGGGGGGGGGGGGATTATAGAGTCCTGCTGTTTAGCTCAGTAATGAGAAGCTTCTGCTTGTGACTCAGCAGGACAGCAAAGGAACCCACTCGCTATTTCTGGACTATTCATGTGTATTGTTTACCCTGCTATGAGTTTAAGAAATGAGAAGGAAATAGTATCCAATGCTTAAAAATCAACACACTCACATAAAGTCTGGGATGAACACTGTTATTTCTTTATCTTTTCTTCTCCTTTAGGTTTTGTTTTGTTTTTGTTGTTTTTTTAATTGGTGCGTGCGTGCGTGCGTGCGTGCGTGCGTGTGTGTGTGTGTGTGTGTGTGTGTGTGTGTGTGTGTGTGTCAGGGGCGGTATTGAGACAGGGTCTCTTCAGGTAACCTAGCTTAGTCTGAAACTTAATAGGTAGACCAGCCTGGCCTTGAACTGAAGGTCTTCTTGCCTCATGCTCCCTAGCTCTGGGATCAGTCTCCAGCCACCAAGCCCGATGGCTCTCTCTAACCACCTTGAGGAGGAATGATCTCGTCCCTCGCTTCTGTCACCTGCCTCCCTGTGACCACCCCTGAGCTCCGACTCTGCCAGGCAGGCCCCGGATGAAAGCTCAGGGGGGTGATGATGACATGGGGTGGCTGACAGGGTACCAGGTGCTGGGCTTCGGTGTGCGCTCTGCTCTCGGGGGCCTAGGAATGTGTTAACAAGTGGGCAGCCTCTGCTTCCTGTTGCTGCTCAGCTGGAGGAGATCAGATCCTTCCTGACCCTCCTTGGCCTGCCTCGCTGAGACAACTAGATATTGGCAGCATCCAGCTCTCCAAGGATCGCCAAGGCTTTCTGCAGCCAGGGTGCCCGGTTGCTGTTCACTGGGTTTTTCTGACAGCTCTTGTCTGTGCGTACTGAATCCTTCTGCAGGGCCTACAGGGAGAGGGAGAGGCCATGTTTTCACTGTTCCTCAGCGGAACAGCCAGCAGCCAGCGTTCACACTTCTGAATCAGAATGTTGACTCAGCCACCTGCATGCCTATCCTAATCCCTAGCTGTTTGGGCAACCGGGTAAGGCAGGAGGTGGTAATCATTAGAAATATTTGTCCTGCTTGGGCTCAGAGTCCAGTTCCACGAACCACCAGCTGTGGGACTCTGGGTAAATCCCTTGTCACCTCTGGGTCTTGGTTCCACGCCCCCGTAACTGGAGTCATGTGTGAAGAGGGCCTGGCATGGGGCCGATGAGTCAGTAAGAGGGCACAGAGTGTCAGGACAGTCACATCTCAATAGAAGGACCCCAGGCATGACCAACCGGTAGCCCTCGGCTGTATGTGTCCATGTGGTCTAACATACTGGTAGACATCAAAGTCACAGCTCCATGTCAAAAGGTTGGGCAGCCCTGGCACTCCGTAACTGATGCCACTTCAAGCCCAAAGTGGGACAAACAGCCCCAGTACAGACTAACCAGCAAAACCCTTCTTGTCTGAGGGTGACATATGACTCATTCTGACCTAAGAAACTGAAGAAGGCAGCCTTGGAGAATGAAGCGCTCTCTCTCTCTCTCTCTCTCTCTCTCTCTCTCTCTCTCTCTCTCTCTCCTCCCCCCACCACCCCTGCCCGGTTCTACATTTCTACATAGTGGGGGCGGTGGGGCAGGCAGGAGTTGCTGCTGCCATTTGGGCGCCCTAAGAAAAGCCTGTCTGGGCATTAAGACATGGCCAAGGGGTCCAGAAGACGACATCCAGACAGGAGAGGGACTTTGGTGAGCCCCCGAGCCAAACCTACTGAAGTCAGTTCTACTTCTAGGTCTTGGGCTGTTTTGAACTACAGAGTGAGGAACTTGGGGCTTTATTCTGGGGGCCCCAGGACATCACAGAAGGTTTTCAAAGGGAGGAGTGAGGTAGCTGGAGCTGAGCCGTACGTAGGTAGTTGCCTGGGATACTGAGTGCATGGAGACCGGACCACGGCTTGAAATGAGGGTCTGAACCAGTCGGAGACAGAGAAACTTGAAGGCCACAAAGATGCCAGGGGCTAGGCTGACTGGGTCAGGAGGCATCCGGGAGAGGGAGCCTGGAACTACAGGCTGAACCATGCAGATGGAGAAGTTCTCTTTCTGCCTCTGTCACAGATGCCCTGGGAAGTCATCTGCCGCTGGATCCCTTCCTCCCTCTCTGGTAGATTTGTGTCTCTGACTGCCGTTCCTATGGTTCTGCCTGGTTCTTCACAGCAGGGACCATACCCGACCATCTTCACATTCTGAGGGACGAGGCCAACATAACGTTGGCAGTCAGCCCATGCTGACTTGGACCAAGCTGGTGGTGTACTCGTTCTTGCTGAGGTAGGCATGAGCTGCCCCCTTCTCCTGCCCTGGGGGCTTAGTCATCGGTTTCATAAGCAGCTTCGAGAAGCTGCAGCCCCGGGACACGCTTCTTGTTGCTGGCAGGTGCTGGCAGCTGCAGAGCCAGAGCAGGGGAACTGGGTTGGGGTGGGGAACCCAGCCAGGTCATCGGGGTCACAGGCGTTTTATGAGAGGTGCCGTGTGTATGTCTGTGTGTGTCTGTGTGTCTGTATCTGTGTGTTTGTGTGTTTGTGTGTGTGTGTATCTATGTGTGTGTGTATCTATGTGTGTGTGTCTATGTGTGTGTGTGTCTGTTTCTGTCTGTGTGTGTCTGTATCTGTGTGTGTGTCTATGTGTGTGTTTGTGTGTGTGTCTGTGTGTGTACCTGTGTGTCTGTTTCCGTCTGTGTGTGTCTATGTGTGTGTGTGTGTGTCTGTATCTGTGTGTGTGTGTCTGTATCTGTGTGTGTGTCTATGTGTGTGTTTGTGTGTGTGTGTCTGTGTGTGTACCTGTGTGTCTGTTTCCGTCTGTGTGTGTCTATGTGTGTGTTTGTGTGTGTGTCTGTGTCTGTTTCTGTCTGTGTATGTCTGTATCTGTGTGTGTGTGTCTGTGTGTGTATCTGGGTGTGTGTCTGTGTGTCTGTGTCTGTGTTTCTGTATGTTCCCTGAGAAAGCCACACCACCATCCCCTCCCTGGAGACAGACACAAAACCTCTCTCCTTACTTCTTTTCACCTGTCCTGTTTGAGGTCCAGAAATACATCCATGAGCTTTCTGCTTCTAAAATAAACCAGTGCTGGGTCCCACCCCACCTGGCTAGCTCAGATTCATTCCCTCCAGGAACCCCTCAGCATCCCTCCAGGCCTATAAGAGTTGTGGGTTCTATAGTCCTGAAATACGAATCTTTCAGCTCCTTTCAGAAGGGGGGGTCTCAGTTGCCTGCTGCTTCCCATCCCCAAATTCTTTCCTCCGTACATACTCATCCTAAGATGCTAAGTGCCTTTGGGAAGGGTAAAGGACCAGACACTGTCGTGGTGGCAGGAGTGTTAACTGCCTCCCACCTTGAGAGAGGCCCTCCTCTATCTTATTTTCCCAGCAGCCTTTTGGTTTTTGGAAGGTCTTTCTTCCTCCTACCCAGAAGCTCTGTTTTCCTGATCTGCGCTCCCAGATGCCAAGGTTTCCCTCTGGGCTGTGTCGTCACGGAAATTCCTGGTTCTAACGCTTCTCAGAAGGGCTCTGCCACCGGGCTCTCCTCTGCTCCAATGTTGTGTTGTTTTTCCTGTAGCCATGGCAGGGATTAAGACTTGAGCCAAGCAGGGCGGGCAGAAGGAAGGGGTGAACTGGGAGTTGGAGAAGGGAGCCTGATTGGAGGGCATTCGCAGGATCCGGCCAGAGGCAGCTGGCTCAGTGTCTGGAAGGACGGGGGACTTTCTGTTTTGCTTTGTTCTGATCTGGTTTTGGATTGTTGTTGGGAATGATAAACACATTAGGAATTGAATTCCTCCCCAGTGCGGAGTCGCAGCTAAAGAAATCTCTCTCTAGTGGTCCGAAATCTGAGGCATTTACAGATCCCAGGTCTAACAGGGGATCTCTTGAGGCTGGTGGTATAACTCAGTGGTAGGGCACTTGCCTGGCATGCAGGAAGCCCTGGGTCTAATCTCGAAGAATTTAAACAAAACTTCTTAAAACAGTTTCTGGTTACTCCCAGTTTACACTGTGGACCAGCCCTGGCCACTCAGTGGACATAAGCCTGCACCCCACAGGTGAGAAGTTGCTGCTGTTTGGAGACCCCTGTCCAGTTCTCCCTTTGTCTCTGGCATGAGAAGACCTTGTATTGGGGGAGCCACCTGAACAGTACACATGGCCACAGCTGCTGCTTCCAGATGTTCTCAAAACACCCGGGACCCCCAGCATCTGCCTGCATGGCCCAAGCTCATTTCCAGGTCTCATTTGGGCTTGTTCCAAGAGTCTGCCCTCTCTGAATGGTTCCAGGGATGGTGGCTGCTTGCTAGGAATCACACAGAACAGGGAGATTACAGGCTGGCCTCAGACATGGCCAAGATGGAAGGTGACAGGGACAGGTCCTGAGCTGGGGTTGTCTCCCTGTGATGCCACCTGAGCAGTCAGAAAATCCTGACTTCACCTTTGACGGTCCAGAAGATCACGGAGTTCCAGTTTTTGATGCGCAGAAGGTGCAGTGGGACAAAGCTGCTCACCCTGTGCTGCTGGGAAGAGGAGAGGGAAAAGCTAAGAGTTCCAACAGCCTTCAAGGGCACCCGCCCCCATGACCTAGCATCTTTCCACTGGGCCCCACCTCCTAAAGGTTCTAGAGATCGTCACAGGTTGGAGACTATGGGTCACCTGGGGCCCATATGCGTAGAAGCCTCTGGAGGACATTTAAGAGCCAAACTGTAATGTTTAGTAACTACATGTTACCAAACCATTTCCTGTTTGCAGAGTGTCCTATCCCCACACTTATGCTTTCCGGATCCCTGACGGGCAGTAGAGCTCATACGTACCCCAGAACCAAAGACAAAAATGCTACATTCCCATGACAGATGCTGCCAGTGCCTCCTCTGATGACCATTCTCCCGTTTTTTTCTTTAAAAGTTTTTTTTTCATTTTATTTTTGAGATTATGATTATAATTATAACATTTTCTCCCTTCTTTTTCCCCCCTCTAACCCTTCCATATACCCATCCCCAATGGCCTCCAAATTCATGGCTTCTTTTTTTGTTATTGCATGCATATATAGTCTTAAATATTACCCGCTCAGTCCATATCATATTACATATCATGTGCATGTTTTCAGAGCTGATCATTTGGCCCTGGACCACCAATTGCTGTGCTCTTCCCTGGAGAAGGACACCTCTCCTGCCCCCAGCTTTCCTCAGTTGCCTAGAGTTCTTGGTGGAGGGTGGAGGCCTCGTGGGCTTTCCCGCATCCACTTCGGCATGTCCATTGGTGGCATCCTTGCTCAGCTCACATGTGGGCAGTCATGTTGGTGAGACTTTATGGGAGTAGCTTCTGATGTTGCTAGGAGACACAATCTCGCAGCGAACTCCATGATCACCTGGCTCTTACAATCTTTTCGAATCCTCTTCTGCAATGCTCCCCGAGCCTTAGGTACCAGTTTTATAGGTATTGTTTTACAGATGCATCCATTGGGACTGGGCTCCACAACTCTGCATTTTGATTGGCTGTGGTTTTCTGTCGTGGTCTCCATCTGTTGCAAAGAGAAGTTTCCTTGATGAGGGGTGAAGACTGCACTTATCTGTGGGTATAAGGACAAATGTTTATAGATTGCTGCTAGGGGTTATGCTGATTTAGTAAATTAATGATTGTGGATTCTCTCCCGATAACCATGACTTCACTAGGGCTGAGTAGTTAGCAAGTTTTCCAGTACTAGGCTTGCTCTTCTTCTTGCTAAGCAGGTCTTAAGTCCAATTAGAGAGCTGTTGGTTACCACCAAGGTATGTGAGTAACTATTGCACTTGTAGGGTTATCAGGCCATGCTGGTCATTGATATGGTTCATAGGTGTCATAGCTATCTAGGATGGTTGGTTACCACCCCCCTTTGGAAGCTTGCATGGTGCTGTGAAAGCTGGTCCGCAGAGAGGGGACATTCAGCTTTCCCGTTTCTCTTTCATGAAAGAATTTCCAATTTAGCTGGACAGTGATAGTGCAGGCCTTTAATCCCAGCACTGGGGAGGCAGAGGCAGGCGGATCTCTGAGAGTTGGAGGCCAGCCTGGTCTACAAATTGAGTTCCAGGACAGCCAGGGCTACACAGAGAAACCTTGTCTTGAAAACAAAAACAAAAACAAAAACAAAAACAAAAACAAACAAACAAACAAACAAAAACCAGCTTCCAATTTGTAGTTGGGTGCTTGGCTCTCTGGATCAAAGCTCACCTTGCTCAGATTTATTCTCTGTTAGATGTGGCCAAGTGACCCATTCAGCCATTGAGCTGTAAGTGGCATGAACATGTTCCAGGAAGTGGATAGTAGATGAGTTCATTGCTCAGGTCTTCCCAGTGACCAAATACCTGAGAGTTCATCTTAAGGGAGGAAGGATTTGTGTGGCTTTTGGTTTCAGGCAGTGGTGTTCGTCATGGCGGAAAAGGTGTGGTTCACTGGGGTCAGAGCAGGCAACTGGGACCTCTCACATGCTGGCAAACCAGAAGCAGGGCTGAGTCTCACCCTTAAGGCCTGCCCCTTAGCAACTCACTTCTGCCATCGAGACCCCACCTCTTCAAAGTTCTACAACCTCCCCAAACAGTACCATCAGGTGTTCAAACCCACGAGTCTGTGGAGCACATTCCCCCAGCCAATCCTGTTCTCTCTCCTGACAGCGGGAACACGGGTGTGACAGCAGATCTCAAACAGGCACCAGGCAGCATGCAAGAGCAGAGCTCACTGAAGGAACCGATTATGAGCAACCTTGTACTGTTTGTCATCACTTTTTACTATCCCCCCCCCCGGGGGGGGGCAAAATAAATGTGTATTTTGTTTACACCACAGTCACTTTACATTTTCTGTCACAGAGTAAAACTCAATCTTGAGTGACGTACTTGTTTTCCCAGCCTCCCTTACTGCTAGGAAAGGGCATGCTACCATGCTCATCTAAAGGAAGCCTTCTTGTCAAGGACAGTCTTAGCAGGAAGCCTGAGTTCCTGAGACAGCAGTGGTGACATCCAGCATGGAGTGTGGGTGAGGCAGGATGAAGTCTTTGAAGCTTGCTGGCAGCCAGCACGAGGGCCTCGCTGGGTACTACTATTTTTGGCTGCGTGGCTCCCACCCTGTCCTCCAGCTCACCCAGTGATTCTTGGGTGATCCGATGTCCTGCTAATAAATCCTGCCAGGATCAGTCATCAGTGCAGCCTTAGCCCCCGTCAAAAATGCTTTTCAACAAAAGTTCCCAAAGTAGATTGTTGGCTCTGCCATCAAATTAGTCACCGAATAATCTGTTAAAAGTCTATGTGAGGCAGGAGTCCCATTTAAAAGTCAGAATTCTCTCGCACCTTTGTTTCTATAGATACTTCTGAGACAGAATGGGGTTCTTTGGAATAGCTGGTGTCTCCTGTTGTAGGGGAGTGTGGCATCTGCGAGCAGAAGCCCTGATATGTGGGGACTCACCAGGGCAAAGTTAAGTGCAGCGTAGGAGTCGGTCAGAAGCACACTCAAGGGGCAGTGGCGGCTTCATTTGTCCTAAAGAGATTTACACAAAAACCTCAGCTATTTGGAACACTGTCAGGAACGAGGAAAAGGACAAAAATAAACAAAAACCAGGGTGGGGTGGAAAAGAAAAAAAAAATCAGCCCCAAACCCCCAAACCAAATGAACACACAACAGCCCTCAAAGAAAACCAAAACACAGAAAGATTGTTCACAGCCAATACAAACGCTCCAGAACCCACACCCTAGTTTATGGACTTACTCACAGGCAGGCGGTTCCCAGCTCATTTCCATCCATGGAGGGACTTCACAGTCCGCAGCACAAAGGAACAGTCCCCTAAGAAGGAGAGAAAGGAGAGGCTGCTGGGCAGTCCCCTCCACCAGGAGCCAGAGGATGGCTCTTGGTTTGTGCCAAAGGCAGGGATGGCATTCGAATGGCCAGCAGGCAGGAGAGGTGGCATCTGAGCCCATTGAGTCCAATGGGAAGAGTGGTTTCATGTGCTCCAATAGTGTGGAGAGAGGAATGTGTGGTTTCAGATCCCCCTGGGGGACTTGAAAAGTTGTGGGAAATCAGCCAGCAGGACAGTCTCCACTGCTGGTGAGCATGTAGGGCAATGGGGAGCTGGTGTCCCTGGAGGGAGGGCAACCACTTGGGGAAGGTTCAGAGGGTCTTTGTGGGGCTGAATGCCCAGCAGCTCAGTGCAGAGGAGAGCTTTTACGGTAGCTGTAGGAACTGTGCTAGAAAATCCCCTGAGCATACACCGTGGTATTATCTATAACGGAATGTTATAGAGTAGAGAAAATGAAGATACCAAAGCCAGTCAACATGGATGAATCTAAGCGTGAAAGAAATGAGTTCCAGGAAAGAACACTGACTGAGCACTCCCTAGCATTCACGAAGTCCTAGGTGTGATCCCCAGAATCACATAAAGCAGGCCTGATGGGGCATGTCTATAACCCCAGCACTCAGGAGGTAGAAGCCGAGGGGGGGGGGAACAGGAGTTTGGTGTCATTCTTGTCTCTGTAATGAATTTGGGGCCAGCTTGAGATACATGAGACTCTGGGGGGCAGGGTGCATATATACCACTCCACTTGTATAAAATCCAAGAGCGGGTAAAGTTGGGGCTGTATTCATATGTGGTAAATCAATCAGTAAAGAATGGCAAAGACACCCACAATCAGTATATAATTTGGAGAAGCAGGTTTATAAGGTACCACTAGGATATTTGTTTTTCTTTCTTTGTTTGCTTTGATTGTTTGTTTGTTTGGGGGCAGGGTTCCTCTGTGTAGCCCTGGCTGTCCTGGAGCTCACTTTGTAGACCAGGCTAGGCTCAAACTCACAGAGATCTGCCTGCCTCTGCCTCCTGGTGGCTGAGATTAAAGGCGTGCGCCACCACTATGGCACTGATAATTTGTTTTTCTTAACTGATCCTGCTGGTTGGTACTTTATATTAGCATTTATTTAACTGTACAGTTGTTTTATTAATGTCTAGACTTCAGTGACAATCATTTAGAAAAGGGAATGGTCAGATGAGGCTGTGTTTGGGAGGCCAAGGCAGGAGAATCCTGAGTTTGAGACCAGCTTGGACTAGATAGAATGACCCTATCTCACAAACAAAAACTAAACCATCCGGGTCAGGTAGGCCAGCCTGAAATCTCAGCTGCTTTCAGGATGCTGAGACAGGAGACTGCAAGCTGAAGGCTTTCCTAGAAAGCTCAGTAGCACCAAAAAACAGTCCAAAAGGCTGATGAGATAGCTCACAGTCCTCAGTACTGCATGACACACTCACGTACAAATGCACACACGCACAGTCCGAAACTGAAGCGAACCAGAGAAAGCTAAACCCAGAAAACCAAAGCGATCGTTTCTGTCCCATGGACTCTGCTTAAGAAAGCAAAAATAAGCCGGGCGTTGGTGGCGCACGCCTTTAATCCCAGCACTCGGGAGGCAGAGCCAGGTGGATCTCTGTGAGTTCAAGGCCAGCCTGGGCTACCAAGAGAGCTCCAGGAAAGGCGCAAAGCTACACAGAGAAACCCTGTCTCGAAAAAAACCAAAAAAAGAAAGCAAAAATAGCCAGGCAGTGGTGGCACACGCCTTTAATCCTGGGAGGCAGAGTCAGGCGGATCTCTATGAGTTCGAGGCCTCAGATTCAGGGGGACCTAGGGATGTCACGGTGATGACCTAGAGTCCCAACTCTTTTATGTTTTTAGGAGAATTTTTATTCATTGGTTTTTCAAGACCGGATTTCTTTGTGTAGTACTGGCTGTCCCAGAACTCATTAATCAAGGCTGGCCTTGAACTCACAGAGATCCGCCTGCCTCTGCCTCCCAAGTGCTGGAATTAAAGGCGTGTGCCACCACCACCATTCAGCTCCAGCTTCTCTTGAAGCCAGAAGAGACTATAAAATAGTAGTACCAATCTGATGGGAGTTCTTGGAGAAAAGTCCTGTGTGTGTGTGTGTGTGTGTGTGTGTGTGTGTGTGTGTGTGTGATCATTTGTGAGGTATGTATGAGTTCCTGTATGTATATGATCACTCTCTGTGCGATTGTTGTTGTTGTTGTTAGTTTTGTTTGTTTGTTTGGCTTTTCAAGACAGGGCTTCTCTGTGTAGCCCTGCCTGTCCTGGAACTCACTCTGTAGACCAGGCTGGCCTCGAACTCAGAGATCTGCCTACATATACACCAAGGGCCCCCATCACTGCCTGGCCTTTTGTGCTATTTTTGAGAGAGGGCCGTTCACTGAACCTGGATCTCAGTTGGACAACAAGCTGCAGAACCTCCAGGCCTCTAGTACTGGGCCTACAAGTGTGCGCTGGTATGCTTGGATTTTAGGGGAACTGGGGATCCGAACTCAGGTCTTCATGCTTGTGTGGCAGGTATTTTACTGCAGACCCCCCTCTCCCTAGCTTCCTCAGATGGTTAAGTTTGTATTAAGCTATTTTTTTTTTTTATGAACTGTGCTTTACCTCCTCTTCTTTCTGCCTAGTGGAGGAGCTGCCGGAGGCCCGGGTTAGCCAGGAGAGCAATGCTCACAGAGCTAACGGCGGCCTGCACAATGCAGAGCCACAGTGCAGGACCCGGCACTCTCTGTCCCTAGACTTGTCCTTATTTGACGAAAAGGAACACCTAATTAGGCCACCGTTGGACGGATTTTCTATTGTTTGCAGTCGACAGCTTGCCTGATAAAATCTCTCCCTGGATCGCCATCAGGGGTGTTGGGTGTGATAACAGGGAAGAATCTATTTTTTGAATTGCCAAAGAAGGACAATATTTCTTGAGCGCCTGTGAGTCCTCCTTAGTTACTTCATAAGCAGGACCCACTTAACTTCCGGGTCTGCCCAAGTGGAATGAACCTGTCGTGACAGACAGATACTTGAGGCGCGACTGGTTGGTTGTAATCATGCAGCTAACAGAGAGACAGGTTGGACAAGCAGTGCTCTCTCTGAGGTGGGCAGATTCATCTAGCTCAGCACCCTTTGTGACTGTCTACTACACTAGTGTTACGAGTTAGCTTTATTTATTTAGTAGATTGATTGACAGGCCTGTTGGTTCCAAAAGAAAGGATTTCACTCTCTAGCCCAGGCTGCCCTAGATCTTACCACGTAGCCCAGGCTGACTTTGAGTGGTGCTGTTGGGATTGCAAGTGTGAACCACTATGTCAGACTTTATAGATGAGATCTTTGTGTAGCCTAGTGTGATCTCAACTCTAGATCTTCCTGCCTCAGGCTCCTAGGTGCTGGCTGGAAAGATAGGCGTGTTCCAAGGAGCTAGGCCTGTTTGGTGGAGCAGCAGAGGAAAGCTTTGCAAACCGAGGCTCATACCGCATCAATATTAAAAGACCCGCTGCTACCCAAGAGCTGCCCTGCTGAGAAAGCAAGTCTTCTGTCTTCCTTTCCTGCAGCAGGTGGGACCCTGCAGGCTGTGTGTTGTGAGTCTCCAGGCCAGGCTGTGGCCCTGCAGAGGGTCCTAACCGCATCTCTCTCTTCCTGACTCTGAGCCCAGTGTGCCTTCAATGCTTGTTTCCCCATGGGGATGACTCTCCCAACACACCCACACCCACACACCCCACACCCACACACACAGCCAATTTTAAGCACAACCATACCCAAGTCTTGGCTCTTTAACTGGGTCCTTCTCTACAGCCTTTCTATGGCTGTCTGATCACCGGACCTTGTTTGGCTGATAAACAGCCTAGCCTTACCCAGATGGTCAGAACCAGCCCTGGCACCTGGCTAGAATCCACTACAGCCTTCTTGGCTGGTTGCGCTTTGAGACATTGCCCCAGACTTTACTTTGTGTCTACAGCCATGAGCACTAAGCCTCAGGATTCTGTTTTGTAGACATGGGGACTAAGTCTCCCACCCAAGGGCACAAAAGAAAGCCCAGCCTCGGTTCTGTTCAACTTTAAACCTGAACTATATACAGTCTTCTTGGTAAAGAGGATTACTCATCTCATGCCCTGAAACCAGTTCTCTGGAGCTTGTGATTGCACCCCTGTTTCCTAGGATTTCAGAAGTTCCACTATTAGGGGATTTATTCCTGCCTGGGTGTGATGGCACCTTTAATCTCAGCACTTGGGAGGCAGAGGCAGGTGGATCTCTGTTTGAGGCCAGCCTGGTCTACTGAGGGAGTTCCAGGAAAGCCAGGGCTACACAGAAAAACCCTGTCTCAGAGAGAGAGAGAGAGAGAGAGAGAGAGAGAGAGAGAGAGAGAGAGAGAGAGA